CTGTGCGACTCGGTTTTGTCCCCCAAAAGGTCCGTACCTTCTTCGTCTTAGCGCGGACGAGCGGTATGTTTGACCGGAACAAGGGATGGCGATGGGGGATGGTGAATTGGATTTGAGGTTAACTTTCTCCGGTTCTAGATCGCGGCAAAAAGACGTGTGGATTCCCTTGATAGAGAATAATCTGGGGCTGTCACATGATAGCCATGCGACGGTCCCTTTCGTCTGGTATCCCCAGAACCCAGGGTTGAAAAGCCGGAGGTTTCTCTGGCGAGGGGAGAAAAGGGGTCACGAGACAAAGTGTCCTGCAGCGACCGGTCTAGACTGATGGGGGGGGGGGGATTCTTACCTGGTATCTCGTCAGGTCATCGATTCCTCTTGTTTCCTGGTTTGGAGGGAATCGCAAGTCTCGATCGAGAAAGTGCATCAAACAGACGGGATTTGCACGCCAGACAGAAGGCCATCTAGATGGTGCCATGGCTGACAATTAGGGTTAGGGATGGCCCTCGGCAGTGGTGACGGAGAAGGCGTTGTGGCTGTCAGGCTTAATCTGGCTACAACAAAACAGTGAAGTCTACTAAAAACCGTAAGCTTTCGGAAAGAAAAAGAATCGGACTGCAACTCTATCGCTCTATCTGCGCATCATGACCCCTCTCTTTCAGCAACAGCTGCGTCGTCTTCCTGATAAACCTCGTACTTGTACTGACTGCCTGGATGGTCCGCTCGCAACCCGCGCTGGCCTTTGCCGTACACCTTCTCCCGCGCCGTCAGCCCGTCCGCCTCCGCCCCCGCGGCAGGATACAATCCCCGCCGCCGCAGCTCTGGGATCAACAAATCCACCACCTCTTCAAAGGTCCCCGGCGTGGTCACATATCCTAGATTGAACCCGTCCACATCTGCCTCCCGAATCCACCGCTCCAGCTCGTCCGCCACCCGCTGCGGACTGCCAATCCCCACCGGTCCCAAGCCCCCGATCGCCGCCTTCTGAGCCACCACGCGCGGCGTCCACTGGGGGACATCCTCGCTGGTCGTGGTGAACGCATCCAACATGCTCGTCACCTTATGCGCCTCCAGCGAATCCGCCGCCGTGATATCCTGGTCCAGCGGAATCCGCGAAATATCGATCCCCGTCCACCCGCTAAACAGCACCAGTCCGCCGACCACCGACGCATACTGCTTCAACTCCTCATACTTGGCCTGCGCCTCGTCATCCGTGCGCCCAATGATCGGCGTAAACGTTGCGAAGAACTTAATCGACCGTGGATCCCGCCCTTGCTCCGCCGCCAGTTTCCGGATGTGATCGATCTTCGGCCGCAGCACGGCGGGCGAATGACTGGACACGAAGATCGCCTCGGCATGCGTCGCCGCGAACGCAGACCCCGCTGCCGACGTGCCGGCCTGGAACAGGAACGGCGTGCGCTGCGGCGACGGATCGACAATGTGACGCGTGTTCAGCGAAAAGTACTTGCCCTTGTGGTTGATCTGGCGCACCTTGGCCGGGTCCACGTAGGTATCGGTTTCGGGGTCGGGGGAGAGCGCGTCAGATGCCCAGGATCCTTCCCAGAGTCTATCTTCTTAGCATTCTTTCTTTTTTTTCCTCTTCTCCTTTTCCCCTCCCACTAAAACCCACATAGACAAGGGAGAACCTACTTATAAACAACCCGCAGATACTCATCCGCCTGCCGATACCGCTCATCATGCTCGATCGGCGTATCCAATCCAATGGCCTTAAACGCCGCCTTCTTCCACGATGTGACGATATTCCACCCCACGCGCCCATTCGTCAAATGATCCAGCGTCGAGAACCGCTTCGCCAGCAAGAAAGGCGGCTCGAACGACGTCGACGCCGTGATCCCGAACGCGAGATTCTTCGTCACCGCCGCCATGGCCGAAATCGGCTGTCGCATGGCACCCGTCAGCATGAGTCTGACCACCAAATCCCCACAACACACGTAGGTCTATACTTAGCAGCGAAGGGGGGGGGGGGACGTACAATTGTAGGATCCGTAACGGGCCACTGCGCCGCGCGCCGAATACATTCATCCAGACTGTCCTCGTAGGTATCGTATCCGCCGTAGGTATCCGCGAGGAAGAGGGCGTTGATGCCGCCACGCTCGAGTAGCTTGGCTAGCTCGATCCAGTAGGTGAGGGAGCGTTTTGTGGCGGATTTGTCGGCGGGATTCTTGGTTCTTTAGTATCGTTCTATATCCATCTTGGATGTATGGTGGGTTAAGAATAGAGCAAGAGACATAGGATAAATACCTTCCATTGTCCAGGGGACAAGTGTCCGACAGTGGACATGTCGAACGCATTCAACAGGATGTGTTTCTTGGGAGTCGTGCCATTGGCATGGTCTGGTTGGGTGCTGCTGTCACCCATTTTGCGTTGTCTATTCTTCCGATACGTAGGTTGGGATTGTGTAGTTTCAGCTTATGTACTCCGTATATATAGATTTTATCTCTCCAGCTACCTCTACAGATCTATATACCTACATGAACACTAACAATAAAAAATCGATGATCGACCCCGCAATCTCGCCATCAGCAAGTGTCATCGCGTAACCGGTAGATAACTAGCCGATGCTGTCGGTAGAATTGTGTTCTAATGCAACGGCTAGATTCGTCATTGGGTCCGGTTGAGGCGTGATATTCTATATTCTTTTACTTATAGATTGTTATTAAGATAGTGGTTGGTCTAGAGGGTGGAATGGATATGTTCGTTGGGGAGCGGTGCGGAGATATATTGTTAGCTAGGGTTTCATCATTGTAAGGCGGATTGCGTGATAGGGGATTGGGATTGGGATTGATAGTGTGGTGTTTGGGGACTCAGGTACATTTGGCGTCGAAATGGGTTTTCCTTGTGTGTATGGGGTGTTGCTGCTTTCTTGCTGGTCTGATGTCAACTTCAGGGTTTGGGGTTCTATATAAATATTGTGAAGCTCGCGTTATTTGAGAAAACACTGCTATCTCGCAATGTTTCCCATTTATTCTAGATAGCAATGGGCATTGATTTATATTATCCCAGTCAATGAATATTGCAGGGCAGACCTTGACTTTATCATGGTTCTCGATTTAGACTACTCCGTACAGAGTACTTTCTCCAGTATTCTATAAAGCTACCCGATATTAGGCACCAATATCGACTTACTATCTTTCAAAATTATATAACCAAATTACCAGAACTACCCCTGCAATGCGGGGTAAACCGATATTTATCTTGATAGAGCTCCCTCGATAACCAAAACGCAATTAAGATATAGCTGCTATATCGAATATATCGAAGATTAAATTATCAGTTACACTTGGATTCTAGATTTTATTATCAAAACTTTATACATAAGCGCCGGCAGCTATACACAAGATTATGGAGAATATACCTAGCAGGTCTCGTCTCGAATCCGAGAAGATTACCCATTCTGCAGTTGACAAAATATTATCTGGACTAGCCGTGTGGCTTAATCAAACGGCAAATTTTAAAAAGGAGGGCGAAAACCTGGAGAAGTGTGTGGATAAAGGCCTTGTCCAAGCCTGTCGACCTCTCCTAGATTTACTGGAAATTGATCAGAAGCTCAAACACCGATGGGGTTATACGGTACTACGGACAGGATCCAGCCCGGCGCGATTCCATAATACAAAAGGTCCAGCCTTTGTGGTTCCTATACACACAACCGGTTGTCCTACTGCATCAGGAGTAGAACTAATACCTGGCTCGATACTCTACATTACCGAAGAGATAGAGGTCGGCCCAGGATTAGTCGGTCTTTTTGTTGCTGTATTATGATACTTCTTGTGGACAAGTGGAGATATCTATAGTGAACTGCGATCAAATCGCTTAAATCGCCCGATTTCCTCTTATCCCTACGCTTGATCCTCCGCTCGAAGAGATGAGGTGAAATCGCCTCTATCGCTATATTACTATTATTATTCTAGGGAACGCGTTAACGCGTCAGTATACTTTTTAACTGGAATATTAGTGAGAGGTATGTAGGAGATTTAGCCAGTTTCCTAGAATATTATTAACGTGATGTATAGCTGCGGGATAGGGTCCCTGAATTCTTTGGTTTTAAATACTAATCTTATAATGTACGTTTTCTAGAAATCAGTAATTACCTCTTTTTAATATACGCTGGAAGTTTATCTATCTAGAAGTCTATCTAGATGCCTTTCCAACGTATACTTCTACTACTAAATTCCATATTCCTGATATAATATTTATTGATATGTCCAGTAGACTGCACCCTTTCTATCTAGTAGTCTAGAAGCGGTTCAGGCTCTTTAGACACTGGAGATATCCGTTTGATGTGTTTACGCTGCTATTAGAGAAGATGGCTAGGACTAGGGCACATCATATCTGAGATTTTTAAGCGCTGATTGACTTCGAGGTTCGAGGAGATTTGTCATGTGTCAAAGGGACTGACATCCTTTGTTCCATGTAACTCTTTGTCTTATTGTTTAGACAATTTATTCTTTAGTAGTCTTCAGATGAATCATTTCTCTGAGAAATGGTCCTGTACTGGTTCCCATGCAAAGCTATCTTTAGCACACACGGTATGATATGGTAGTAGTCAACAGAATAACACTGTCAAGACCCATCCTGATCGTTGGGTCTGTCATAATATAAGGTGAATCGCACATCGATGGGAGATCCTGCTGAATAGGTCGGTATGTACCAAGAATTGTCTGTCAGACAATGGGTCAATAAAGCAGCGAAAACAATCCCATTCACCGTCACAGTGGATATCTACATTGTCAGACTATGTCTGTCTGAAACACCCCTACATAAGGAAACCCACATCGCCCTCACCTTCAGTCCAACCTGGAAAGCAAGATCCATTCAGTGTAGCTAATCCGTCCCAGGAACCCTTTCTTCTCTTGCCAGACCGGAGATATGCGTCTCGATCAGGATCTCCCCCTTCTCCAAGGGGGATTTGACGAAGCTATTCTAGTTATATACTTAGCATGGACTCGAACTGTCACACAAAATGCTTTCAGAGAACTACCAAAATGGATCTGGAGGATTTTCCACCCTTCCGGCGTTTGCCCTCCGAGCTTATCAGACTCATATTTACCCTTATAGCCAACGACGAACCCACGAGTCTCCATGATCTTAAATTAGTGAGCAGATTATTCTACACTCACGCTAGTATAGCAGCCCGGTCTATAATCTACCGCGATATAGCAATCAAGGTATGCAGACATTACGCACTGACGAAATCGACCCAGGAGATCGTGAAAGAGCTGGACAAGACAAAGAGCTTCCACTATGCCCGTCGGCTTATCATTGAAGAAAGCCTTTCCACGTGCGAGGCGGATGCTCCTTGCAAGGCGCGTGTTGACTGGCGCCCACCGAAGCTTAGTGACCTGAGACGCACGGATCTGGATGAGCCATACGAGTCTACGTGCGCTGCAGGCCTACAGGAGACACCATGGTGCCCCAACACCCGCGATGCAGATGTTAGGCTAACCGACAGACGAAACCATGCATGGATGCCTGTGGCAGAGTTGATTAGAAATCTGCCTGCGCTGACAGATCTGTTCTTCAGGTGCGGCGGCCAGTTTCCTGTCTGTCTTCTTGATGCTCTGCATGACTGCGCGCCCCGATCGAGACTACATCTCCAGACATTCTCCTTGGACAGCATGGATGCCCTCACGGAAGACTCCCAAGAGCACAAGTTGGTATTCTCGCCAGCCTTGCATAGTATCATGCTGCAGTACAATGAAAGAGGTGTGCGTAGCTATGACAACAGCCCTTGCTACCGAATGAAGACTATCCAACGTCTGGTCAAGTCGGCCCCGAATTTGAAAGAACTACAAATCACCCGTCGCGAAGCCCCACAGAACTTCACATCCGCCCTTGTACCTATTCCTTTGCAAAAGCCCAAGACGGACGAGGACGATACCTCTATACCTCCTGCATCGTTGAAACTCCTGAGAATCATTGACCAGGTCCCTTTGACAGCCAGGACGCTCCTTGAATGGGGAAAGCACACGAGATTCTCCGAGCTAGAAACCCTTGAGCTCTGCTCCCTGGCCAAGCCGAAGGCATTGATGATCTGGTCCCAGCAGCTCAAGTTTCCGAAACTAAAAATACTCTATCTACAGCTCAAGGCCCATGCTTTTCTCGAGGAGGACGCTCCTACCACCGAGTTCTACGAGGCGGCAACCCATTTCATAAAGAGCCTCCCTCCACTGAAAGAGCTCTACTTGGAGGGTTGGCACTCGCTGGTGTCTTTGAACCCACTTGTTCGTCACCATGGCTGTTGCCTGCGTAGGCTGGACCTCGCAGGACCCCAGGCCTGGCAGTGTTTAACCGAACGCGACATCCTCCAGCTCGGAGAACATTGTCCCCTCCTGGAAAGCCTGGATCTCACGATCCCGCGCTCTCAGGGCGACGCGACCGAAGTCGCCCTTTACAAGGCCATAGGAACCATACCACGTCTCAAATACCTACACTTACACCTCGACATTTCCGATGCAACCCTCGGTACAAGCCAAGATAATATGGCAAGGGCAACAGATACCGAACAAGAGTTCCGCCGGGGTCGCAATCCAATCCCCAACACACCCACCAAACCGCCTAGCGAGCCGTCATTCGACGAGTTCGGCAATAAATTCTCCGTCAAAGACGTAGGGGGCCGCTACCGAAGCCGCAACGGCCACATCCAACGACTATTCAGAAACAGCGCCGTAGACTCGAACCTAGCGTGCTCGATCTTCAGAATCATATCCGGAAACAAGGCCGTAGGCTCATCACTTCTCGAAAGAATGATCATTCGGCTGCAATGTAGCGCGTTTGAAACGCATACTCTGTTCAGTCAATTGGTCCATATTTTCCCTTGCGCGTGGTTAGTCGAACGCAATTCACGCGATGATCGTCGTGGTGAGGTGATGGCTATGCAGGTGGCTTCGTGTCCTTATACGAAGACTCTATTTGGGTCAAATTTTCTGGAACCATGGAAGGAGGTTTTCAGAAGTGTTTGGCCGGAGGTTGGGATGTTCGAATCGGGAGATGCTTGGTGGGATCGTTGGCGTAGCTTTTCTCTTGAAACTGACGAGCTGATGGTTTGATGGGCCGACTTTTATATATTATGATTTGGGTTTTGGGTGTAGTGAGTATCCGTGTGAGAGTGTGACTGCCTGCTTCTGTATTCTAGATTCAGTGTCGTACATATTGGCATTTATCACTCGGCCAGAAGACTAGGGGCGAACGGTCCAACCTTGAAGCTTAGATACCTAAAGATGAGAGGTTTCACTTTTAACCATATCTCCAGACTACGAGAATCCTAGATATTTCAACTCAGCTTGCAAAACAGTGATCTTATCCTCTATTCCCCTTAACTAAACGATCCTATCCGAGATGTCCCTCTTCTACCACTTTCCTGTTTCTTGCCTATAATTATGATCCCTCCACCGCTTTCGACTACCGATGGAGACCAGTAGATATCCTTGAGAAAGCCCTCCTTACCCGTGCGAATAGTCTCTTCAGCAGGTACAAGTAGCATTTCTAGAACCCGTCCCTTATCTTGTACGACGGCCAGACAGAAGCTATTGTTAAACAACCCTGCTCATAACATGCAAAAGGACGGTGGTATCAGAAGATTGCTGTCCCTGAGATATAGGCTCCAAAGATCCACTCAGGATTTGGGACCATTTTACGCAAGGGGTGGGTTAAAATGTGAAATCTTAAGAATTCACTCAAGGTCCTCGGTGTGTATAACCCTGTCTTGGGATATCTGCGTAACAGGAGATATTATCAGCCTTCTTCAGTATTAAACAACACGCACTATAGACTTTATATACCGATATCTGGGCTCTTAGGTAACAGATTTTGAACCACGTTATGAAGCCCGCGAATGGGATTAATCAAACGACTCCCCTGGCAGATGAGCCTATGTACCATGCCGGGTGGATCAAAGGCATCCCTCTGGCTAGCACGTAGATTATATTCTCCGTAGTATTTTTTCTTTTTTTAACCGATTCTCAATAGTCCTGTTTCTGGGATCTGGGGCATTCATCTTTAACCGTCGGGCCCTTGACCTGCTGTTATTTGTAAATTTCCACCGCGGTAATCACATCCTATTCCCTTGACTTTTGAGACGGATATAAGTTGTATGTCGATCTCCGCTTAGCCTTGGTATTTGATCCAAAGATTCTATCAAGGGGGCAATTCCTGTGCTCGAAGGCAGTTTAGTGGTAAGTCAAGCTCTGGGATTATATTGGACCAATTTCCATTTCGAATCTTTTCTGCGCACTGGCACCCTCGCGAATCTCCTTTATCATATCGGTTCCGGAAGGAAATCATGTTCGAAGATTGGCTCGCAACACGCTGTATGTTTAACTGCATCATGAGCAGTTCCTTGCTGGGAAGTGGGTGGGACTCCGGGTTTAGTGTCTCCAGAAGTACATGAGCTGACCGGATGTGTCTGCTGTATATTGCTATTTCAGCGGTTATGAGGGTAATGAAGTCATGGATTGCAGGGTATATGTACCTGCCACAGTGAAATGTGGGCATATTTGTAGATAGTGCCTGTTTGTGTTTCCAGGTATCCAGAAATCCAACCTGCCTTGCTTTGTTCTGAATACTCTGGGCGAATTAGGTGCCCCGCATCCTGCGGCCATATCAAACACCCTGTAGAATTCGTCTTGGTACTGCGCTTCGACAGGCCCAACGTCAGCCTTCGTAGCCGTGATGTCAAGATGGAAAGTGGATGACCAGGTGTAGTCTAACAGGAGACACTTACGTTGCTTTTAAGTGGCGTAAGATAGCCTCACTGTCGGTTGGCACCTTGGGGATATCATCCTCACAGGGGAGCTCAACAGCGAGCAGCTGAACCAAGAATGCTAAAGCCAACTAGGTACCCGATACCACCCGGCTGGATACACTCGCGATAGCATAGACCAGTGGTGCCAAGAAAGAAAGTTCAAAACACGTACGCTATGCTTTCTAGCTCGGGGTAGAAGTTATCTGGTCAAGCTGACTCTTGGCGTCAATATCAGCGCCCTTCAAGCAGTATCTTGATAATGGTCCTTTAAGAAGGCATGAGAGCTCGACTTGTACTGACTGCCCTCGGGGTCATTAGGGAAACCCCAGTGGGGTCTTCTGAAGCTGTGTTGAACTGCACAAACAGACAGAAACAGAAACAAGAAAAAAGAGCTGCTGTTGCAGTTGTATTCGACGTCCACGTCAGGAATCTCCCGTAGCTACTCATTACGGTCACCAAGCCATATATCCTGGCGCAACCAGACGTCATCGGCCATTGCCTCCAACGCGGCATGCGAAAAGACATAGTCGCTCTCGCCTGCATTCGGTTCTCGAAGCCACAATTCCTCGAACTGGATATGCAAAGAGGGGTCCTTGATGAGAATTCTGCTCTCGTTTCTTTGGTAAAAATTGAAGTTTCTGAGCTTGATTGTCTCATAGCTCGCTCGTTGAAAGTCCGCAGGGTTCGTCTATGGTTGCTTCCAAGGCGCAAATATAGATTGACACATGCTGAGAAGAAGCTAGGGATATGCTGGTCTACCACATACCCTGATTGCACTTCTGACCCAGTCCACCAGAAATGCATCCAACGAACGGCAGAGACTCGCCCTGGTCGCGGCATGCAGAACACTCCTCGCCGAGAGGTGGCTGTGCCCCAGTGGACAGAACTAATAACCGGCTCGTGGATTAACCGCCGCTCTCGGCCAGACAGAGGTTGCGAACCTGTCCAGTGGGCCCAATTCGATAATGTCAAGATCGTAGAGATCATTGCGGGATCCTGGCTAGTCGAGATAATAATCATGGAAAATGTTAATAAACTCTTGCCAGTGGGACGAAATTGTAGCAGGACGATTTGTGGTTCATATCTGAGACCGGTGATCGTGTTGGAAGCTGAGTATTTATACTTTGGTGGTTTGGCGTTCGTGATTTGCGAGGCCTCATCAGTATGCAGTATTAGGCGAGGGCAGACAAGGCCAGCGTACACCTCCCTAGATCCTCTTCCTCCAGGAGACCTGGTAAGCAGCCATCCACTTTACCTTAGGACTCGGTTAGTGTCTAGTAAGTTCATGGACGACAGTATAGGCTCACCAGTAACACGGCATCAAAGTACGAAACATCGCGGTAATATGCTTAAGTATTCGGAGTCACAGCACCCAAGGCTCTTTTCGCATCTGATGCAAAATCCTCAAGCCACTCCATGTGTTTTCCCCTGGACCATAGTCTGACAGGTTTGTTCTGTAGAGGCTTCAAGGAGGCAATGATGTGACGTCTGTGGCCTGGTCAGGAACTGGTTCTGCCTCTGTGCCGTGGACAGGTCGGCTAGTCGATGTTCCTATATCACGTCTATATCCTCTTGTTCATCAGGCAATGGGGCATGAATTAAGGGAGTTGCGGCTAAGATGCCGTTTCAATCCTACACTGTTCTGCATATGGGTTCTGGGCTGTCATTTTTCGAAAAGCAGTGTTCTTGGATATTATTCCAGTTCCGTTGGATGTAGAGTACTTGAACGGTGCCATGGCCCTTGTTGGTTTAGATATCAAGGCCAACTCTTTATGAAACGTAGTACTTGAAACCACAGGTAAAAGGAAAATCATAGTGAGATTAAGTAACCTCCATCACTTAGTCCTGTCCTACGTAAGTAAGGAGTACAACAACCAACAGTCTTGAATCATATCGTTAGGCAGTTCGAGTGTGGAAGAGACGAACAGTTGCGGGTAGCTGACTGCTTATATACCCATCTAGCCGGCTGCGTTCAGAGGGTCAGTGGCAGAATTCGTCATCTGACGGCTGTCTTCTTTCACTTCCTGGCTCTCGAAAGGAAGTGAAGCTCTATATCATGAGAATAGACCTTCACTGGGAGATATGCTGAGATCAGCTATCTATTCCAGATGCAGTTTTGATATATTGGGAATTGAGCCATTTCCGGGTGAATAAACTGTCAGCAACCATGCCAAGAATATTATACTCTCGGTATCAAGACGTTTAAGAGTTAATCACCAGGATTAGGGTTATCAACAGACGCTTATCAGACTTTTTCCTCGTGGCCATAGCGGCCAATGACGGGCATGAAGGGAGCCGGGATGCTGCTGCAGACTTATCAGCTCACGATGGCCTCCTCATTTCCTTATCGGGCACACTCCCCTTTCCTCCTGCATACTAATGTCCCAGGATCCCTCCCTGTTATTTCTTCCAAGCCCATGCTACCCTCTTTGCGTCTCCGGGGTACTGCTGACGCCCCCTGCATACATCTCTGCCCACATCCATAGCACTATTGGCATTTCCTTCCTGCTTACAGCTGGGGTTGCATCGAGCCCTAATTGACCCCACCCCCTTGCATCGTGCATCTTTCGCTGTTGATCGTCTGGCTAGGTGTGGAATTCCACTACTGTTCCCTCTAACTTACACCCCTATACGTATCGACAGCCATTTCTCGCCGGAATGAAGCTCCGACCTCATCTCCGCGTCCAACAGTCCCGATCAGCCTTCGCAGAGGGAAATACCCGATGGACCAACCTAGACCTGGACCCTGTCCCCCGCCATCTCCGCAAATGGGGACCCATGAGCTTCATCTGTATGTCTCAGTGACCCTGCCAAAACCCCCCCAGGACTAACATTTCCCCAGCATATTGGATCTCCGACGCCTTCAACGCGGCCACCTGGCAATTCGCCAGCAGCATGATGGCCGTGGGACTCGGCTGGCGCGACTCGCTCATCATCGTCGCCATCTCCTTCCTGATCATCTCGTTCGTCATCGCCGGAAATGGCGCCGTGGGCGCCATCTACCACATTCCATTCCCGGTCATCGCCCGCGCCAGCTGGGGCTTCTGGGGCTCGTACATCGCGATCGTGTCGCGAGTCATCCTGGCGCTGTTCTGGTTTGCGATCCAGAACGTCAACGGGGCGAACGCAGTGCGCGCCATGATCGGCGCCATCTGGCCCAGTTTCCTCACGCTCGAGAACGGCATCCCCGAGAGCGAGGGCATCACGACGAACGGCATGGTGTCGTACCTCATCTTCTGGCTCGTGCAGTTCCCGTTCCTGTGCTTCCATCCTAATAAGCTCCGCTGGCTGTTCATGGTCAAATCCGTGCTGGTGCCCATTGCCTGGATCGCGATCTTGATCTGGGCGTTTGTCGCCGAGAGTGGCGGCGGGTTGCTCCATCAGAAGGCGACCGTCTCCGGGTCGAAATACAGCTGGCTCTTTCTCGCCAACATGACCTCCGTACTGGGGAACTATGCCACGCTCAGCGTCAACCAGGTAGGTACCACAATCGATCCCTTCCCTGTTCCCCTACCCGAACCTCTTGTATAAAGAATCCCAAAACTAACCCAAACAACCCCCCTAGTCCGACTTCTCGCGCTACTCCCGGGTCAGCGCAAAATGGCAACTCCTGTACATCCCCATGCTGCCCATAATCTTCACCTTCCTCTCCTTCATCGGGATCGCAGCGAGCAGCGCAGGGCAGGCACGATACGGCGGCCCCATCCCGTGGGACCCGATCGACCTAATCAGCAACTGGACGAGCCGCGCATGCCGATTCTTCGGCGCCTTCAGCTTCGCGCTCGCCTCCCTGGGGGTCAACATCTCGGCGAACTCCATCTCGGCCGCGAACGACCTGACGGCGCTGGCGCCGGGGTACGTGAATCTGCGCCGCGGCCAGATCATCTGCGGGCTGTTGTCGTGGTGTCTGGTGCCGTGGAAGATCCTGGCGTCCGCGGGGAATTTCTTAAATTTCATGTCTGCGTATGCGATCTTCCTGGGCCCGATTGCGGGGATCATGTTGGTGGATTTCTGGGTGGTGAAGCGCAGGAAGTATGATACTTTGGCGCTGTATCAGCGCGAGAAGAGCACGTATGCGTATGAGGGCGACTGGGGGGTGAATTGGAGGGCTGTGCTGGCGTTTGTGGTGGGTGTGGTGCCTAGTTTGCCGGGGCTGATTCATTCGGTTAATGGGAGCGTGGAGGTCGGGGTTGGTCTGCGTCCGTATCAGTTTGGGTGGTTGTTGGGGGTTTGTCGCCACGAGTCTTGTATATATGTTGGTGTCTGTGGTTTTTCCGGCGACGGAGTCCTTGGTCGACGTGGCGGTTATGGCGGAGGATGTTTACGATGCTAGGGAGGGGGATGTTGGGAGTACGGATGATCAGGAGGGCGAGATGGGGAAGGTTGAGTCTTAGTTTCTTTCGTTCTGTTGTTCTATTCATGGGTATATTCATTATTTTATTTTGTACATGCTGCTCGCTCTATTTTGGTTCCAAATGAAATGAATACATGTTCCTCATGTGCCGGAGTGGGAGGAGTCTATATCGTGTCCCTGTGAGCATCGTCGCTGCTATCGGCTGAGGCGCAGGCTGTGTAGTGGACTTGGAGACATGGTCTCACGCATTGACGGTGGAACAGCAACTGTGGTTGCTGGGATGGCCTGTTCGGCATGATAAATGGCACATCACAGCCCTTCAGATGACCATCGTCATCATGAAAGGAGCGCAGTATCAGATAAACGAATACCAGACCATTCACACCGCGATTCCCGTCCCATAAGCAACAGCCTCCTTCAACACCTTGCTCGCCCCAGAACTGGCCCTCCCCATCTCACCCCCCTCCTGCCTCGCGTTCTCCAAGCCCCGCTGAATAGCCCGCAAAAACCGATTCGCAAAGACCCGGTACCGGTCCTCCCACGTCTCATACATTTCGCCCTCCTCGTCCCTTGGCTGTCCGAACAAATTCAGATAAGCATATGGCGCCGCCGTGTCGGGAACCATATGCACCGCCGTCTGACAGAGGGGAAACTCCCACCCCGCCACACCTCCAGAACCCAGCATATCCACATCCTGTGCTTCTGTGGCGGGCGCGCCAATCCCCGCATGCAAGAACTCGGCCAGTACGATCAGCACCTTCATCATTGGCTGGCCCTTGGTACCTGCTTTTCCGAACGAAGCGCGGTTCGCTGACCACTTGGCTGATTCCTCCGTGTGCCAGCCCAGGACGGAGAGGAAGCAATTGAGCGTTTTGATCCAGCCGCCGGCGCTGGAGACGACTTCTGTGCCTGCGATTTCGACGAGCCAGGAGAGGACTTCCACGGAGGAGACGCGGACGTCGGCCGCGAGGTGGGTCATGCCGGCGCGGATGTACGGGAGGAGTTGGGGGACGTGGTCACGGATGTCTGATTGCGGGAGAGCGCGAAAGAGTTTGAGCAGCTGGGTGCGCACGCCCGTGTTTGCATCGAGGATGAGGGGGAGGAGGGAGGGGAGGATGACGCTGACTGGTTGCGGGAGGGGAGAGTTGACGGGTCGCGAGCTGATGGCGGTTGTGAGGTGGGCGAGGGAGTCGCGGCGCTGGGAGTCGGATTTGGAGCTGAGGAGGGAGATGTGGTGTGTAAATTGTGTGTTCGAGGTGGGGGCGCTTAAGGTGAGGGATTGTTGGTTTAGGACGATTCCTGGGCTGGTCAGTTGGATGATTCTTTTCTCTCCGGGTGGTGGTAGAGATAAGGCGAACCTTTCGATTTGAAACTGGTGTCGGTGAAGTTCTCAGGCTTGCCTTTGGCTTTGCCGACTTTGAGCTTGGCTTTCTGTGTTCTGTTAGCTTATGTCTGGTTATTTTGGCAAAAGAATGGCTGACCGTGAAGTCTTTCTGCTTTTCCTTCTTTTTCTTCGCGCTGGATCCCATGGTGGAGGTTGCTGTGGTAGTGCAGTCGTTAATCCAAGTAATTGTTCTTATACGTATAAAGTTCTGTTTGTAGTATAGCAATGCACAGTAGGACCAGCTGTCCTTGATATAGAGTCAATTGAGCGAGGAAATAATTGATGCTGAGATATTTGCTATCTTCAATTATTTTCGATATCACCACGTGATTATGGCTTTGTCATGTTTATGCCTCAGGTATAAACTTACCCGATTTGGTGTGCAATAGCCCGAAGCTCGGTATTGACTATTGTATAAGGTAAGAAGTATAGCAAACCGTGGTTTCTTGGTGAGAAAGAGCTGGCTTATCGTATTTCTAAATACCGATATTACAGAGTACATCTGCTAATACGTCAAACACTGCTTCGCTTCAAAGTCCTTCCATGAAACACGGACATGGTACAGCAGCATGCTGAATCTTGTAACTATATCGAGATCAGTCCGCGACTATGTTCCACAGCAATTCTAGATACCAAGAAACCAAGAATGAATATACCTAGAGCAAAACCTCCCTCAGTTACAGGCCCAACTTCGGACCGAACCGAGCCAGGGCTACGGTGCAATACGCTGCCAACAATCATAGAGCGCATCCACAGAAACAGAACTAAGGATTATATAGCTTTTTTTTTAATCTCCAAATGGCTAGTTAGAGCACTTTCCACTAACCCTTTTCTCGAACTATCTCATTGATCTGAAGAGCATACTCGAGCGTCACCCTTATGATAGAACAATATGACTCCTCGCAGCCAATGAGGGGGCCAACCTCATCTTTATTCAGTCTCCCGTGGCCATGGTACTTCTCACAGTCCATTATATATCACATTTAACTTATATCAAGGCTTCTCTGTATTCAAACAGAATTTTACTCACCATAGATTAGCGGGACTAGGGTCAGACTCCTCTAATGTGCGCCACTGGGAGCCAATCTGAGGAAGTGTCAGACTTCCACTTCGCACTTCGCTAGGACAAGCCAGATAAGCAAACCTCAGCTAGATCAGCATCATTGCGACCAGCTAGTGTCTATCTGTGCGGGGAAATGAGGCAGTGGTACAGGTACCACTCCAGTATGGTGCCGGAGCAGACCAGATAACTATTTCATTAATTATTCTCTACAGCATCCAAGCGTGGTATATATCTACTACGGACGCACGGTGCTGACGCCAATAAAGTGACAAAACATCAGTATTAGCACCGTTACCCTTACCATCCGATCAAGAATATGGCGGAGCAAACTTTACAGCTGCTACTTGTGAAGGGCTGACATGGATTATTAGTACGATGACTGCGCACACAGTGGTATATACTAACTAGAACGCAACTCGCCGTATGCTAAATATATACTACAATATCTTGCGGTTGGGATCAATGCTGTATCTTAGTTTTACTTTACGGTGGGCTCTGATTATAGTTGCTATTTGCAATAATGTATCCATTATTGTCATTAAATTTTTTTTCTTGTTCTATTGTGCTATTGTTCTATTCTCTACTTAGGCTGTTCCGGGTGGGGTTGTTGTGGAACATACCTATTTTAAGCTTATATTTTATGACGTCAATTTACGAGGCTAGTATATCCTTATTACTCTGAAGACTACAAGCTAGTGTCTGTATATATGGAGACTGGGAACTATGCCTTAAGTCTCAGTGCATAACATAATATACATCTACTGCTGCGTAGTGGCTGACTACTTGAAAATATAAAGCTTATGCATGTTCGACAGTTGGCTACACCTACAATGGATACAGACTCAGACGGATAAGTAGAATCATGCTGTACCAGATACATACAGCGTCTATGGACGGTGACAGAAAACACAAAGCAGAGATGCGCACTTCTGCCCGGCCCCCAAGCCTTGAACAAGATCAAAAAAAACAAGAACACAGCAGCAGTGAAGAATCAGAACGAAAACGAAAACAAAGGCCGGGGTCCGGACAGACGCGATTGTATCAAGCATAAATCAAATCAGCCAAACAAACAGGAAGCCACAACAGAACCACAAGACAAGCTGTGTATCGTCACAGCGGAGGATTCGGTCGCTGTTAGATCGCAGACTGGAACAGATCAAACCCCGAAATAACAGAACGAAATCCCTCGTCATGTCACCATTAAACCAGCGTAACCGTCGGAGTGCACCTTGTCGTATCTCATTAAGTGCATCGCGGGCCACGTCATCTAACACCTCTCGTCTAGCGAGATTCCATTGGTTGCAGTATTCATCATGTCTATCGGTCATGGCGTAGCATCAACGGTGGGAAAATAAAGGGGAGGGTTCAAAAAAGATATTAAGAAACGAGTGTAGAGAAGGAGAGAAGTAAGCGCGGCCGTTTACAGACTCATGGTCAACCACTCCCATTCCTGACTAGCTCCCTGGCCTCCAGCAATGCTATGGTTCGCCGGATTGGCTGCCGCCGGTGGCATGGCGGGCGCCAGCGGTACCACCTTGGATCGGCCGCCCGCAGACTTGTTAGCCTCGTCCATGTCCATCTCCGAGGCTTTTTCCAGCCGTCGTTGACGTTTCGGGGCGGCCGGGACCGGGTTGCGCGTCTGGCCCGTGCCAGGGGAGGCGGCTGCGGAGGGAGCTGCCTTCGGAGGAGCGGCGGCAATGGGTACCACCCCATTCGACCGCCCCGCGGCAGCACTAAAGCCGGCGGGAGGGGATTCCGAGGAAGTCCCGTTCTGAGCGCGGCTCGACGTTGGAGTCGTGACGGATGCCTGCTGCACCGAGTTCTTGCGGGCCGTCTTCTTCGACGCACGGGATGTGCCGACCGCCAAGCTGTTGGCACTGCTGCGGTTACGCTTCTTGATGACGTCCGTTTTCAGGGACAGTGGACGCACGACACCGTGCAGTTTCAAAAACAAACCGCAGGCATTGCAGAGTGGCTGGCCCTCCGGATTCCGACGCCACAGCGGAGTCGTTTGGGTGAAACAGTTCGTGCAGGTGGTAGGTCCGTTGCTACCCTGATCACCGTTCTTGCTGCCCCCAGGACTGGCCGGGCGAGACGGAACGGCGCTGCTCAGTCCGGACTCCGGTGGGGTATTGGGAGACGTATGGGACGTATTGTTATTAGAGTTCATGCTTTGGCGCAGCAGCTGGGCCGTGTTGGGGGTGGACGTGGTGCGGGCAATCTTCTGCCGACGAGGGTCCTGCTCTCGGTTGCGCACCTCACTGACCGAAGCCACCGACCCATGAGTGCGACCCAAACTGCCACCATGATTCCACTCCTCGGGGGTGTCCATCATGTCCGTGGACCCAATGGTCACATGCTTGCGATGCTGGGGGCCAAAGCCCGGCAGCGAGTGGAAGGAGCCCGGGAACTGCCCATCCCACTGCATGCCCGACGAGAATCCGTCATTCTCGTCTCCAAATTCCGTCGGCATCGCCAGACCAGCCCGCTCCGACAGCTGATGGCCATCATCATCCTCGTTATCCGAATCGGCTCCAAAGGAGAACATGGGGCCACCATGGGAATTGCCGGTTGAGTAATTGGTGGCGTTCAACACCTGGGTGGGATCGACATGTTGCGGTTGGGGAATGGGGTAGCTCGGCGATTGCACTGCGGACGAGCTGGGCTGCTCATGGTTGTTCTGGTTGAACATATACCGAGGCTGCAGCGAAGCGGACAAGTTGGACCGATGCGAAACATAGTTCGGAATGCGGCGTTGGGTGCGCGCGTCGCCGGACGGCATATCGAAGTAAATGGAATGGTCCCCATCGTAGGCGGGCTGCGGGGTGGACGCCGTCGACTGGTAGCCCGATGGTGGTGGGGAGAAGAAATCCGTTGAGTTGAGGGATGACGCCACTGGGGTATGCGAATAGAGGTTCGCGAACGGATGGCCCGAGGCCATCGGAGACTCGCTGGGGGAGAAGGTGAATTGCGATTGGTAGGGGCCCGCCGAGGGCAAGATCGGATCGTCTCCCAGGCCGAACGTATCCAAGCCAAACGGCGCCCCGGGGGAGGTGTGGTTATGGTGATTGATCTGCTGGTGGTTGCCCTGGTGAAAGCCAAAGGCCGAGGACGGCGGATCCAAAGCATAATCGGGCACGCCGGTGGCGAGCTCCGGATCGTGGGCCAACATGGAGTTGGACACGGGCGGCACCTGCGGCGAGGATTCGGCCGGTCGCTTCCGGGTCGGCACCTGCAGCGAGAAAAACTGACGCTCGTCGATACTCGTCTTGCGCACGCGACGGGGGACGTAGCCGAATTCACTGTTCTTCCGCTGATCTTGTGCCGGGTGGTGGAATGAGGCCGGCACCGGGGTCGAATCTCTCAGTTGGTCTTTCCGGGATTTGATGGGAATGGCCGCGGACGCCGTGGAGTCGGTGTGCTTGGTGGCAATGGGCGAGGGGTGGTCCGAAGGAGATTCGAAGGGCACGATAAAATCGTCGAGGTTCATCGGGTCGGCGGTCAGGTCGGCCGAGTGAGGGTTACCAGTGGCAACGGGCGGGTCGGAAATGCGTAGTTGAGCGATCCCACTGGGGCCAGCGCTCCCGGGTCTCACAGGAAACCTTCACAGACACAAGGTTAATAATGAGCGGGCCTACCCCGTTCCTCTGCAGAGGGAGAACCTACATGGACTGTTGAGCACGTTCCCGCTCCTTGCGTTTCAAACTCATCGCCATCATCCGCCAGGTGAGGTTTTCCATACGCTCCTGGTTGGGCAACTGGGCCTTGGTCCTAGAATAGAGCCTCCATATTTGAGTCGCCAACGGATCTTGCCTCTGCATCTCATCTGGACTGTCGATGCCAGGCCGAGGCGCACCGGACCCCCATTCGGGGAAGAGCGAGTCTTGAAGTAGGCCTTCATGGGCCTGCGAGTCGGCGGGGCTGATAGGGGAGCCGAAAGAAAAGTCATCGGACAACTGCGAGGAGGTAGGAGGGATGTTGTTGGAGCGGTCAGCATCGGCGGACGAGTGGTGGGTGGTAAAGGTGGTTGCGGTTTGAGTCGGTCGCACGCCCCCAGGGCCTCGCCCGAGGGTCAACCCGGACATGTTCACCCTACTCTTTATTGGGAAGGGCGGGGGTCACGATAATAGGCGATAAGACGGAGGAGGGGAAGATCAAACAAGAAAAAGGGGGGAAAACAGGAAAGATAGGAATCACAAGCCGGATGGGAGAAAGAGATAAGGATGATTGAAAAGGTTCAAGAATCAGCCCGGCAAGCAATGAGAGTGGAGGGAAAAAAGAGCTCAACGTAGGAATGAGAGCGTCGCGGGCGATTGGTCCGTGGCGCAAGGACGAAATTCCAGTCTACCCGCCCTAAACGAACACTGCGTGCAGGATGGAGGATGCAGCAGTTGTTTTGGGTGGAAAAGAATCGGGAAGCTAGGATCTGAAGGGGGTCCAAGTCAGTTATAGTTTAGGCACTTGGTCTGAGATCCGTCACAGGAAGCAAATCCAAATCAAATTCCAATAATAATTAGTGGATGGGGTCCACCACCACTGCAATGGAGAAAAATAAAATCGGTAACGATAATAATCAATCTATCCCAAAAGGAAAAGGAACGAAAAGGAAAAGGAAAAGGAAGAGCCATTGGAGACGGACACGCAGCTAAAAAGTCGCGAGTGGAATGCATCAGTCCGTACCTATTGAAACTCACGACGACGAATGTATGTATGTCATGAATGAACCCAGACCCAGTTTTAATCGTTCGGTCTCCTCTCGTTGCCCCTCTTTCGTTGGTTTTTTTTCCCCTGGTTATTATTTGTCCAGATTGAAGATATGGAGTAGAATAATTTCTTTTCTTTTTCCTTTTTCCTTTTTTTTTTTCTTAGTACCGGGATGCTTCTATGGTATGGCTGACAGTCTAAGGGAAGAGAGTCAGTGCAAGAGAGAGGGGCTAGACCCTCTAGACGCACATGGCCGAATGAAGTAGAGCTTGATCGAGGAGCAATCCCAGATAGGAAAGTAAAATACCAGGAAAACAAAAAGTGATTCACGGGGAAGATACTGATGCGACGGTCAAACCGATGATATAAGAATAATACGGGGGAAGAGGGCGAGTAACGAGGGAGGGGGGAGGGAAAAAGAAGAGAGAGTGGAAAAGGAAGAAAGAGAGTAGTAGTGGATGATGGATGACGGACTGATTCTGGGCGGAGGAAACGGGCGTATCCATACGGAATCCATGATATCCATACGTACATCCCATACCCATACGGAACCAGTAATAATCCTGGGGAACTAAACATCCTTGCCTTTTCCAGAAACTCACGGCGTCAGATTTTCTGGTTCCCGCCCTAAGAAGAGAAAATCCGCGCAGGGATACTGCAGCCTCGTCTGAAATTAATTTCCACTCCTCCAATGATCCTCCCCTTCCGAGAGAGCGTTCATTCTTCTCGTTCCGACTCTTGTTTGGATGCTCCCATGCCTCTCCCAGCGGCAACTACTATGTGACCAACTCCAACCGACGCTGGCAGGATCGGGATGGATGAATGGATGTATCATGAATCATTAAAAATTATATTGCGTCCCCGCTGGAATTAAGTTCCTGGACTGAAACCAACGGGGAGACGACACCTGGAACACTGGTATTACCAGTACCGTACCGACCGACCTCTCGACTCGAGTTCCGGTGGCGACCCATTTTAGCTCGTGGTTTTAACGTTGTCGGGGATGTTTCTCGAAGTTACAGCACGCTAAAATGAAAATTCATCCCGTCAGGATTCTCTGTGCTTCATGAGAGAAAATGCTTGACATAATCATGATCGTAATTCGAATCCTTCGCATGTAACCATCCCCTGATCCCTGGTGGAGGGTGGACCACGATCCTGCCCTATATCGTTCGGAGCTATACACAAAAATGGCTCTAAAACCATTGAGCCTGATGTACTCCGTACCTAAGCATGATGAGAGACTTGCCAAACCACTACGTCGGAAATCTAAAGGATTGGCATAGTTATTTTAAAACCTAAACGGACCCATTCTTCCTAACCGACGGTTAAAATGCAACAGACGAACCAGCGCTAAACAGGAGGCACAGGCACGTATTAGTAGTACTTTTCCTTCATGAGTTTAGATCCAAAATCAAGGATTCCACTTCGGGACCCGTTCGGCCGTATTGGGGAGTTAAACTCCGCCAATGATCGCTCCGGATGGCCTGTTTCAAAGATTCACAAATAATGGACTGAGAACCAGACCCTCATCATCTCTGGTTGGTAGTCCACATCCCGAACGTCGTACCCATCCACCATCAGTGAGTCAAGGGCTGAAGCCGAGGAAGCATTCCGAAAGGCTCTTGAAATCCTTTGTTCAGGGACGGACAATGGTAACCAACGAAATGTCTCCCTGAATAATACCTGACTAACCCGCCGATAATGCGAGAATGAAGCTTTCGGCTTCTGACCGAGACAAAAGTCATCAAAGTAGACCAGACCAGAGAAGGGGAACAATCTCAACGAGGGATAGAACAAATATCGGGAACAGGCTCTTGAATCGCGGACCATGCGCCTTGCATGCATGCAATTACACAGACCATCGGGCCGACCTTGGGCTCATGGTCCCTGTCCACGGTCGACGTATAACAGCCCGTATTATGCATACAGGGGATATACTAACCTGTTCTCTCTCTCTCCCTCTCTTCCTGACTAGGGCCAAGGTACGCTTCCGGAGGATGGAATGGCCTCTCCGCTCATCGGATTCCTTCGTCCTATCCACTCCAGTCTCGACCGGAGCAATCAGCAGAGAGGAGACATGACAGACCGGCTAGATGTCATCGGGCACCGGCCTGCCAGAGAAGAATTGATAGCAGAGCAAAAAGGTCCATGCGCTACCGGCGGGGCGGACTCGATCAGAAGCCAGCACTCGGGCAACCCGTCTGGTCCGGACGAGCTCCGAAGACAGGAGCCTCTCTCCTTCGTTCGGCCCTTTCTTGGGATGATTACAAGACTGGAGCCACATGCACATGGCAGATTTAGAGTTTATCCTTAGTCGTCCTTGTTTCCATGTCTATCATGATCAAGGTCTCTGAAGGGGTACTTTTGTGTCTTGCCAAACCACATCACATCCGCTCATTGGTGGGTTTCAATGCAATGGTGCTAAGATGATGAATACTCCGGAGTAGAATGTAAACTTTTTCCAAGCTCCCCACGAAGCGATCGGAGTCTATGCAATGACATTGCCGAAATTATCGTTAATGCCACTGGGGCCCAACGACGGATTGGGAAACCAATGAAGCTGTATCAATTGGATTTTGTGAAGGATGCCTCGTCTCACCGGCGAGTTTCCATTCCTATCTTACCCGATCGTGTATCCATCCGGTTCCCGCCTGCGGTACGGTAAGTCTGGTCACCCCGTTTCACGTCTGTAACCGACCTGACGCTAGGGAAGTACAGGCCCGATGCCAATAGCCTCTTTTCGCTCGCTCATGCTAGACAGTCTACGCGGTTTACAGCCTCCTCTGTCCTATGATGTCTACGGGACGACGAAATAAGCAAGGGGCATCCACGATTCAAATGAATCCGGATCCACTCTCGGCGGGGTTTTGGTCGTCTTGTTCGAGGTAGCAACGATCGATCGTCGCTTCTGTCTTGTGCCTGGATGCCCTGTCCAGGGAGATGTACTTTCGTCGGGATTAATTTCAGCCAGACAAGTCTTCATGGTTGGTATCAAGCTGCAACGCTTGCAGTAGTTGCTCCATCGACTTGTCCTGCGATGTCGGATTGAGCCGATCGTAGTCAAGGTCAGCACCACCATGCCCATCGTACAACACGCAGGGTGGGTGTCGTGTAGACTCAGCGTACTCCGTAGAGAGCAAGATATGCGCACGAGCAAATCGAGCTTCACCCACTCCCCGGTACATCCTGGTATCCAGACGGACCCAGTTTGTCGAGGCGAGCATGCCAAGAGAATCAAAATAATCACGGCCGTTAAGAAAATGAGGCCGGCGCGGGATGACCAGGCATCGTGCATGCTCTGTGAACGGCAAATGTGCACTGAATAGCGGGGTAGCGACAGCTTTTCGAACCAGCTGTCAGTTCGCACCTCCCTGGGCAACCGCCGTCAAGCCAGTGGTGCGTCTTGCTTGTTTTCTTCCAGGTTGCTCTTCGTTGTCTTTTCGGCCCCACGGGATGGATTACCGCGAGGTCCACCGCGCTAGTGGTTGATAATCATATTAATTCCATTGCCCACATAGCAACCATGATGACCTGGAGAGATAACGGCGATAAGCTGATAAGCGTGTAATTTGACTTGGTCATCGCAGCCAATGGATATCTGTCGATCGGGGCCGAGGTGAGTTTGAATCGTATTAGAGTGCAACAATGCATGTCGGCTCTTCCTCGGGGATACCCCAAAGCATCAATAACTCAGGTTCGGATCATTAACCTCTGGTTTTCCCCTTTGGGTTCAGCTTCCTTTTTTTTGATTGGGGTTTTGGAAGGCTAATTTTATCTTTATTTCAATTTATTTATTTCTTTTTTTTGCCTCAAGTCGATCGCGTGAGGGTCGAAATTGCCCGACAATAAAGAAACCTGTTCAGAATCAAAACGACGTCAGCCTTGTCCCGGGGGCGTGGCAAAAGCAACAGAACTCCAGCAATCTAACGGGATAAAGTTCACATATGAGAGGCCGGCTGCAGGCCAAGATCAAAGAAAATGCGACGAAGTGGGCAAGTGGCGTGCAGATGAGCCACTAAAAGACAACCGCTGCCGTTCAAGATCAACCCACTCAACAGACCTAAATCTTGAGAATCCCTTTTTCTTTCTCTCTCCGTAGAAGCATTGTCAGCGTGTAGACACCACGCCACACCACGCAACACGAGACCTTAGGGTTGGTCCCTTTTTGGTCCGGATGCATCGTGAAATCTCCCGGTGGAGATTCTTAAAACAATCCAGTAGAAATCAACTGAGGCGTGTCGCGTGCCTGATCTAACCCGTCGAGGTAAGTATAGTTGCCGTCGCCAACCTGAATCCTCCAGTTGGGATCGCAATGGCAAACAGCTGGACCTCAGTGACATACTTGTAATAATCACAAAGGTCATCCACCAATCACAGGGTCATTGTCGCAAGGGTTAGCGAGCTAGACCGACCACTGGATGACGCGGTAGACGAAGATCATAAGCAATTGCCCCCGACCATAAGAACAAAGGGCAGGAACAATGTACAGAGACAAGAGGTGTGACGTACCCCAACCCGGGTCAGAATGTCGGCAAATCTGCATCACAATGAATGCCGGGAGACTGACATCGATGGCGCAGGTTAAGCACTATTGTCCATACCAGCATCACCCCATCTGGAGATAACGTTCAACCCCAGCCTGTGAAGGTTTGGCAATGTGGGGGGGATGTGTCCGAGCATTCAATCATGGTGGCGCCAATGGTCACCTAGGTTCTGATAGCGATCGCTGTTATCTTCCATATTACCATTCTCCCGAAACAATGATAATAAATAGCGATAGTAATCACCCTATCTATAGTCGATTATCCCCCCTTCATTATCTGCGAAGCGAGAAGCAGATGCAAGTCTTCCCACCTTTTTCTCGCGGATCCGGCGGATACTCCGGAAATAGCAAAGGCGACGAAAACCCCCTGCAGTGGTGGTGGACTAGAGTGGCAATAACTCCATGCAGGAATGCAGTGGGAGCACGCGTAGCGAGGGCTGTGTCGAGTAGCGGCGGACGAGATGGGAGTCAATGCGGGTTAGAAAGGATCAACCCCCCAAGCGAGGTTAGATAGTACAAAAGGGGGGGGGGGAATGCATTTTATCCAGACAGATAATCATCCATCCATTCCTGTTCATCGTGGTTACCTTTTCCTCCCAATCGTGATGGTATAGCATTGGGCCGAAAGGAGTATAGCTTTTGGCGACGAGGACGTGGAGATATCATACTTATTTCGCACATCTCGCCAGTCGACTTTAATCGCTCGATGCGTCAGGAAGGGAATGAGAAATGTAACCCTGTGGACATCCCATCAGAGTTATATATGGTCTTTGTGGCCCGACCACTGTGTCATCACCCAAAGGGACGGTGAAAAGACGTGATAGAGAATGGCGACAACGTCAGTCCAATGGGGACGGGGGCTGACTTTTGTACGAATTCTTGGGGACAAACAGAACAAAGCCGACCGTCGGTCTTCAGGCATGAACCGTGATAACCACCTGCAGGCGTTGGAGATAAGAAATGGTTACATTCAGAGGATCAGCCCTGACATTCCTGCAAGGGAAATCAAACAAATCAAATGAAACGGAATGTTTGGATCCTCAACCGTTATCTCTCCCCCCTTGGCCCCTAATCCTACGTAACGACGATAACAAGGTGAGGCTGTTTGTCTCCAGGTCTCCACAACTCTCCGCAAACAACCCCGGATATGGTCCGTCCCTTTATCGTCACTCTTAAAGCTTGTCGAGCTGATAGGGTGTATGAATCCCTCTTAAGGCCATCATCCATGCAAGTACCGCCCATGGAACCTCTTCAGAGCGTCCCATGCGTCTCGACGGCTTATCTGTTGCCAGTCAGTTGGCATCACTCCGCGGAGACAGGTCAAACTGTCCCTATCACGTATACCTGCATCATGATAAGCAGCAGGCAGTCATCATTGGCAGATCCAGTAAAATGAGCTGCACATTAATCCTCGGCGGCATAGAATGCGTCAATTGCTCTGAGAAATATAACTTGACATCATCCTGGTCCTGGACAATATCTTCTCATCCCTGATATGCATATCAGCCATAGATCTGAGGCACGTATACCTGTAAAACCACACGACACACCTCCATTTATCCCAAGTGGCGTAATGTCCCTTATCAAGTCCCCTAAAAAACGACGTATCTACTCTGACTTGTACCTATCACCATCCCAAACATGCAACACCGAGACATCTCGATATGAGCAACTGCCACGATAACCCTGAAGTATTATACTGATCACCCTGCCAGAGATACGCACAGACACATACATACATACACCTTATCAACCGTCTATCTAGTCCTTCATTGACAGTGTTGCATTCCTCTTCCCAGGCAATATCAGCATCTGCGATCACCCCAGAAACTGGTGTCAAAAGTCTCGGAACCAAGCCCTAAAAAGAGATAAGACCTGTAGTTACTATTCCCGCCCAAGTTCGCACAGCTCAATTAGATCTATAGTAAACTATAATAGATACTACCCAATAGATTTCCTCCAAGCCCTCGTACTACGAGTCATTCCACTCTGTCAGTGTATACCTTTCCTGGTGACTAGCTTGAAGCCGAAGATCACAGTACTAAATAGAAGTATTTGATACCAAATAACTCCCAATGAGATATATATATCTTCTGTCCCTGTTACGGTCATTGGTAGCGTTTAGCTGTTGTCTAATATACATAACCCGGTAAAAGGATTCGGAGTCACAGTGAATCTTATGTGGAATTTGAAGACATCACAAGACTAGATCAAGTGTACTAGATCCGTAGGGCGGTGTAAGGATCAATGAGGACGAGGTTGGGCTGGGTGAACGGTTCGTGTATGCTTACCGAGTGCGTGTGTATCTTGGGAGGTGATCTGGCAGTACGATGGTTGTTTGCTGTATTGTTATGGAACAAGAACAGGCATTGGTACGTGGTATATCATCTCAGATGGATCCTTCCGACGTGCTATCATTTCCTTAGCATGTTAGATCCCTGCCCATCAGGACTACAAGACGACGTTGCGTGCTCGACCAAAGATGAACGTCAGATCTATAGATGTCATCTTCATTATCGTCCTATCAATCCAAGTCTATCTGTGATATATCCGTCCATACAGCAGAAGTCTATATTTCGTTGAAGAAGAAAAGAAAAGTAGAAAAGTCTATGTGGCAGAAGAGATGATAGATAATGATAGGAGGGAAAGAAAAAGAGTATCAACGTCAACAGGAACATGTCGAATCAGGCCATGAGGGGGTAATAAAACAATGCAAAAAGAAAAAGGCTTAAGCAAGAGACGTAAAACCATAGCAACCCTTCACGTCCACCAGCCGTTCTCCATCAACCGGGAATGAGAAGGTGGTCATTCAGCTTGCGGGTGTGATGGCATAGAAACGAGTAAATCGCTGCTTGGTGGCCAATGTTTTGGCAACGAAGTCGATCATATTGTGGATGACGAGAGTCAACACATGGTGAACCTAGATCGCTGTGCCCAGGGGCCAGTTTGGCCCAACGTCTACCCTCGCCATTCGACCTATTATCAAATGACACCTGTCCCGCTGGTGCTCTAACAACATAGCTCGTAAAACCAGACATGGATATCCAATGATGAAATAAAAACAAAAGAAATGAAAAAGGCCGAAGTGATAGAATGAAGTCCATGACATCAGAGAGATTTAACTGTTCCCTTGTGCAAGGGTCACTTCGAATACAAGTGTAGAAAAGGGGTCTCACGGAAGAAACGAAAGATGGAAAATGCCGCCCAAAGTCCTTTGCGCCCGCTAATGAATAGCTGTAAAGGAAAATGCCCACGATGGAAAGGTGGAGGGTAGAAGAAGAACACATGCAAAAAAAGATCGCACTGGGTATTATGTAACGGAAGCTTCTTTTTCTTGCTCAAATCAATGCCGACGTGCTGGTTCATCACCGGGGAGACTGTCGTTGGCCCGGGTGGCCCATCGGGGGTGGGCTGCCAAATGACGCTTGTTGTGCTGCGTCCCCGGCATACATCTGATACTGAACGACGTTCATGGGCGACATATTGTTCACGTCTTGCCAGGCGGGATATCCCATTGGTGCGGGGCCCCGGCATACGTTACTGCCACCGGCGTCCCCTGAAGGTCCGTCGAGGGAGGGCTCTGCGGATGAACGTGGTTGCCCGGGAAAGGCTGCACTGGGCTGGCCATCTCGGAGTTCATCTCTGGGGGAGGTTGCTGGAATTGGCCGGGGTTGGGGTACGGCGGCGCAGCCATGTCTGGCGGGGGGTAGGCCATGGGTCGTGTTGGGGGCACTTGCCATACTGATCCATCCGGTTGTATCGCATACGTCGGCGCGGGACTGAGCGTCTGCGGTTGTGATGGGACTGTCGGGGTCGGAAGCCCATGTGCGAGTGGCATGGTGGCCATGGGGTTCGGCCCCGGGCTCCATACATTGGAAGGCATGTTCACCATCTGTGGTTTCCCTGCCGACATATTTGCTAATATTTGACCGTCTGCTGAGATCGTCGTGAATTCGTCCCACGGTACCGAGGGATCGAGGGGCGGTGCTGTTGCGAACTCAGGAGCCCCTACATTGCGATCTAACCTTGTTAACAAACTCTCTTACCCTCCGCAGGGGAAGATCACCACCCACCTGGCGTAAACGGCGTCATGGAATTTCCAGCGAACGCTCCGGCGTTGAACGCCGCAACATCGGGGGCGGAACTCAACGGTATTGGCTGGTATGGGAAAAAGGCCTCCGTTTGCTCTCCCCCGCTCACTGCCGGCGGGGAGGACGAGGCGGTTGATGGATCGGTCGACGCGGTGTTCGAACCTGGGCGAGCTTTCTTTTCGATTGGCGGTTGCTGATCTACTGGAAAGAACTGGCACTCCTTTTTCAGTCGAATACAATTCTCACATCGACCCTGAGCGTCGTCCGCCGCCACCAGACATCGTATCTTTCGTCGCCGACAATGCACTGTGGAATGATAAGCAACCAAAGTCTATGAGGGGGTCGCGATGCACCTCAGGGGTGAAAAGAAGGGAAACTGACCACATGCGACGGATGTGCGATGATACCCCAGCTTATTGCGTTTCTTATCTGCGTTGGTTGAGGATTCCATGATCGCGGTTTGCGAAGTGGGTGTCGAAGTCATAGTAGTTCCGACCACCGCAGGCATAGCTCCAAGGAGCGAGATAGAAAGTTAGAGCCCCAAAGGGGAGGGCGCATGAATCACACACGAGGTTATAAAAAAAACAAACAGAGTCAAATGGGTGAGATATACTCGATCCCCAAGGCGAAGACTACTAGTAGTGACTGGAGAACGAAAGTCCACCCATGCAGAGCGCAGAGCGCAGGGACTGAAGATCCAGACAGAAAGGGACACACCACGCGCGGGAATCTGGGGGCGATCGGTGAAGTGTGTTGCTTTGGCTGGTGAAGTTGTCGTACGTAGACCGATTTCTCCGTTTCGCAATGTTACTCCACAGTCAATCTGCTGCGCGCAGGCGATGCTAACCAACAACAATCCACAGAAGGACGGACGGGCAATTCAGCGTTGGTTTCACACGATTAGCTCGTGGTCGGGAGGAACCGCACTAAGGGTGTAAGTATTATTTTTAATTGTTTCGTCGTCGTCGTGGCAGTCGTCAAAGCAAGAGGGAATAGTTGTTTAGTATGTCGCAGGGTTGGTTGAGGGTAAATTGGCCCACGGGGACAAGGACTGTCTCCGCCCACGGGTCTGAAGGAGGTTATTATAAAAAAGAATAT